TAATAATCCCTCTTTCCGTTTCTGTGCTTAGTTCGACAAAGATGACGCTGACAAAAAGGACGCAAAACCAATCGATCCTGCCACCTCGGAAGCCACGCGGTCTGCTAAGGCTCTCTGGAAGGATATTGAAAGTGGGAAGGCGGAGCCGGTCATAGAGAGAGCCAAAGTCAGTCTTGATGTAAGTTTTCGGTTTTCTATGCCTAGTGCGCATCCTTTTCCCGTGATAGAGAAAATTCATCTCAGGCGGACGTGGTTAGGACCCAGCACACGGTACACCCTACTTGAAAATAATCACCCTGGGCCAGAGTCAGTCCCAGTTAGCTCAGTCTGTTATGTTTGCGTGTTTGTAGGGTCAAAAAAACAGACAGGCAAATCGCTATAATGCTGCTTACTTTCGTCCATATGTACATGCAGGATTTCGAATTTCGGTTGTCCCCAATATAGGCAGATAGGAGTCACCACTGCCGGCCAGACGGCTGCATGACAGACCTAGAATATATGTTAAATATGGTTATCTTCCATTTCTGTGCTGTGATGAGGAGACTAGTTGGGTGTAAGCCAATAGCCTCGGTGGTTTTTTAAATTAAAACATTTTTATGCATGTCTCTGATTGGTGTGCTAAAGTTGTTTGGCATAATGTTACCTTCATCGATGCCGCAAGATGACAGGACAGAGTATACCGCCCGCCTCAGATGCCCCATATTTTAAATCCAAAAGTCACGCTGACCAGGCGGGTGGAATGATGTCGTTAAGTGTAACCACTATTGCTCCAGCAGGAATCCGAAAATCTGTGCCTTTCAGCTCTTAAAGTGTCGTTCTGCTGTAAAAAACTTACTAATCAGCAGCGATTTCGGGCCATCATCTGATAACGCCCAGGTTTGACAGTGCTCTTCCTTGACTGACACTATCTGTTGGATTTGTCTATCTAAATAAGAGCGTCCTGGCGAAACACTTAGGGAGCCGGCAGGCTCAGAACTTCTATAGTTTAGTCATAAAGGCGAGTATGCTTTCGCCAGCGAAGGTACTAGCCTTTCTAGGGTAAGCTCAAGTCAAATCTCGACAGTGCTGTAATTGGCTTGAAAGTACTCCAATTTCTGTGGGGATATTTTTGTATCAATGCA